GATTGGTTTTATATCCTGCCTTTTGTGGAATTTTTTTGATTTCTGTTGCTGTTGTTTTTTTATGCAGATTCTGCATAATTTTGCAATTTATGATTCTGTTACCCATTAACAGAGATCTTTTTATCTTCTATTTTTTGTTCCCATGGGAGGTATATAAAACATTTAAAAGTTATGGTAGTATACTTTAATCTTATATCATCAGTTGCATACAGAATCTCTACTACTTGTCATCTTTACCCATGTACCCACTTACATTATTGATATCACATTATACCTTTCATGTTGTGTATCTTATAATATTAACATTTTATTGGTTTTATTTTTTTAAGTTTTATAGAAGGCAAAGTGATTTGTGTTTTATCATTAGGTAACTGTAAATTTTTATATATATTTACATGTACCAAAAATCTTTATATATTAATATGATCTTGTGTAAAATTCTTTTATTACATCTGGAAGAATTTTCTTAAGTATTTTTCATAGGGCAGGTCTCATGGTGAGAAAGTCCTGACAGGTTTTTCTGTGGAAAAGTGTTTCTTTTTTTATTGTCAATAACCTGTTTTCTCAGATACAGTAGTCTTAGTTGTTAGTTTTTCATTATCAGTTCAGTCTTTTCAGGATGGTTTTTCCCTCTGAATAATAATATTTTGATTATAATATGTTCTGTGTCTACATTTTTACATTCCTTTTATAACTTAGAATTCAGTGAGCTGCTTGCATTTGTGTGTCTCTTTCTCCAAATTTTAGAATCTTAAACTATTAATTTTTTATGTAAGCTACCTAGGTGCCTTTTTTCACTATCCTGTATTAATGGGGCCACATAATGTGCGACTTGGTTGATTTGTATATATAATGTGCGACTTGGTTGATTTGTATATATATGGTTTCCCAGAGAGAGGAAGGGAGAGGGAGAGAGATAGAAATAACAATTTGAGATAGAAACATTGATTGGCTGCCTCCTGCACGCCCCCTACTGGGGATCGAGCCCAAAACCCAGGCATGTGCCCTGACAAAGAATCATACTGGGTATCTCCTGGTGCATGGGATGATGCTCAACCACCTGAGCCACACTGGCTGGTCTTCTCTATTGATTTTTTTTTTTTTGCATTCATCTTCAGATAGAGCTGGAGGGAGAGAAGGGGGAAGAGAGAGAGAAACATCGTTGTGAAAGAGACACATCAACTGGTTGCCACCCACACAACCCCAACCAGGGCCAGAAATGAACTGCAACCAAGGTACGTGCCCTTAGTGGGAAATGAACCTGGGATTCTCTGGTCCCCAGGCCAATGCTCTAACTGTTGAGCCAAACTGGCCAGGGCTCCTCTATTGATTTTTAATGAACTATGTACAATTTTTTTTATTCTTCAGCTTGGTTACATCATCCGTTGAGGATCCTACTGTATTTTGAAATTTGGGTATTGTGTTTTTATCTTCTAATTTGTGTATGGTTTATTTTTATAATTTTTTTCTCTTTGCATTTTTATTTTGGTCATACACATTTTCCCTGATACTATGAAGTTGTCAGTTTTGTCTACCTTTACATTTTAAGATGGTTATTTTGAATTCTATAAAAAAGTAATTAATATATTTCCATTAATATTCTAATTTCTGGAGATTTATTTTGTTATTCTGATTTGACATTGTTTTTCTGTTTCTCTGTATGCCTTGATATTCTTTTTTGAAGTTTGGAATTTTAAACAACCAGGCTTTATCAACTTGCATTTTCCTTTCTTTTTATTAAACTTATCTTTATTATTGAAAGTATTACAGATGGCTCCCTTTTTCCTCATTGACCCTCTGCTCCCTGCTTCTGCTCCCTTCCTGCCTTCCCCACACTTATGTCTGTGTCCATTGGTTATGTGTATATGCATATAAATTCTTTGGTTTATCTCTTCCCACCCACCCCCTACCCTTTGAGGTTTGTCAGTCTAACAACGAATTTGAACTTCTTGATCCCTTCACCTTTTTTCCTATCTGGCAAACAACAAAAAGTTCTCTGTACCTATGAGTCTGTTTCTATTCTGCCTGTTCATTGGGTTTGTAGATTCAATTGTTAATAGATATGTATTTATTGACATTTTATTGTTCGTATTTTTGATCTTCTTCAAGAAGACCTTTCACCATTTTGCATAATACTCTTTTGGTGGTGATAAACTCATTTAGCTCTTTGTCTGGGAAACTATATGTCCATTGATTTTAAATTATACCTTTGTAGGATAGAGTAGTCTTGGTTGTAGGTCCTTGCTTTCCATCACTTTGAATATTTCTTGCCATTCCCTTTTGGCTTGCAAAGTTTCTTTTGAGGAATCAGCTGACAGTCTTGTGGGAGCTCCCTTGCAGGTAATTAACTACTTTTCTCTTGTTGCTTTAAAGATTCTCTCTTTGTCTTTAACCTTTTGCATTTTGATTATGATGTCTTGGTTTGGACTTCTTTGGGTTAATCTTCTTTGGGACTCTGCTTCTTGGATTTGTATGCTATTTCTTTCACCAAGTTAAGGAAGTTTTCTACCATTATTTTTCCAGACAAGTTTTCAATTTCTTGCTTTCTCTCTTCTTCTTCTGGCACACTCATGATGCAAATGTTGGTACACTTAAAGTTGTCCCAGAGGCTCCTTAACACTATCCTCATTTTTTTGTATTTTTTTTTCTGTTCTGATTGGCTGTTTTTGCCTCCCAATATTCCAAATCGATGGTTTGCTTCTCGGTTTCACCTAATGTATTATTGAGTCCCCGTAAATTATTCTTTATTTCAGTTAGTGCATCCTTTATTTCTGGTTGGTCCTTTTTTATGCCTCACTAAGTTCCTTGAGCATCCTTATAACCAGTGTTTTGAACTCTACATCTGCTTGATTGCTTATCTCCATTTTGTTTAGTTCTTTTTCTTGAGTTTTGTTCTTTTCTTTCATTTGGGACCTGTTTCTTTGTCTCGTTTTGGCTGCTTCCCTGTGTTTGTTTCTATGTATTAGGTAGAGTTACTATGTCTCCTAAGCTTCCTAGGGTGGCCTATTTTGGTAGGTTTCCTATATAGTCCAGTGGCACAACCTCCCTGATCACACCCCAGTGGGGCCCTCAAGATGCACCCCTAGTATGGGCTGTACACCCTTCTGTTGTAGTTGAGTTTTGATTCCTGTTGGCATGTCAATGGGAGAGATTTACTCAGGCTGATTAGCTGCAGTGACTGACTGTGCCCACTGATCACTGGCCTCTGACTACCTTGGAGGATCAGCTGTGCAGGGGCTCACCACACAGCATGACTTACTTCAGCAGGGCTCTGGTATCCACTGAGTCCACTCCTTGAGTGTGCCTCTCGTGGAGATGATTGGGTGATGGTGCTTTGAATGTCTGAAACCATCCACTGGGTGTGCTGGCTCAGGGACAAGGTCAGCCACTGTATATGTTATACCCAGGGCCACCAGGCTTGAGCTACAAAGTGATTTTCTGATGGCTGCTTCTTGTGCTGGGCTTGGAAGTGCCCATACAGAACCGAGCTGTGAGCCAAAGCTGGCTGCTTCTAATGCCAGCCCTGGGACCACTTACTGAGAAGTGTGGGGCTTGCTGTTTATTTGAGAGAATATATAGGAAAATCTGAAGCCAGAGCCAAGACAGGTCAATCCTATGGTAAAGCCACTGGAAACAACTTGGGTGGGCCCTAATGTTGGGTGGAGCCAGGCCTCGGAGAATCATCAGGGTGGGGCAAACTGTGTGAACCAGGTTACTAGAGTCCCAGATATGGCACTCTTCTGCCGGGCCAGTGGGGAAGACCAAAGGAACAGGGGTCTCCCATCCTCCTCTAGCATGTCTGTCCAGGAGAAAGCTACTTCTCCAACTCTCACCCTGATGCCAAACAACTCAGTTCTTCCCCATATGTCTCTGGTGCCTTTCAAGCTTCCTGACCCTTACTGGAGCCTGGAGGAAACAAATACGTATCAGTCCAACAGGCCTTTGATTGGAACTGCCTGGGACTCCAGCAGCCTCAGCCTCCCTCGGTGTAAATTCCCACTAGTTTTCACATTCAGAAGTTATGGGGATTCTCGTCCTGGCACTGGATCCCTGAGCTGGGGCAGGGCGGGAGGGCTGGTGTAGGACAGGGACCCCTCACTCCTCAGGGAGGACCTTCATAGCTGAGGCGTCCTTCCTGATTTTTTTATTCACTACATGTGGGTGTGGGACAAGCCCTTTCATGCTTCTCCCTCTCTACCAGTCTTGATGTGGCTTGTTCCTTATTCTCGTAGTTGTAGGACTTCCATTCAGCTTGATTTCAGGCAGTTCTGAATAATGGTTGTTCTGTAGTTTAGTTGTAATTTTTATGTGGTTGTGGGAGGAGGCGAGTTCCGCGTTTACCTACAGCACTGTCTTGACCCGCAATCCCCTACTTGTTTTCTGTAGGAGAAAAGAAATAACAATCACATGTGCTGGAAATTCTAATTTTTCTCAAAACTGTTTTGGGGATGTGTGGATGTGTATTCTTTGTTCTTGTGTGTAAGTTACAATTTTTAAATGTTTTTATGTTTCTTCCTCATTGCCTATGGTATCTTTCTATCATTGATATCTGTCTTCAGTACTACACTCTCCGTTGTGTTTAAATAATTCTTTTATTTTTTTGTTGTCACTACAATGCATTCACAGTATACTGCCACTCTTTTAGTATTCTGTATCATGTAAAACAATCACATCCCTCAAGCATCTGCAAAATTGCAAGATCATTGAACACACAGTAGCCTCATTTCTTTATCTCAGAGAAGAAAGTGTGAATTGAAAATTTTCTTAGAATATTGCCAATGTGTGCCAGGAAGTTGGAGCAGGTATTGTTGGCAAATGTAAGCAACTTTTCTCCCCCTTTTTATGTGTCTCTTCCTCATTGTTATTTTCTTGGGCATGCTGTGAACTCTTAGCTTGCTTTTGGAGTACTCAAAAAGATAATTGGGTCAATAACTGATGGTAAGTTCAAAGTATAATCACTTGAGTGTAGTAACTGTGATAATTTATTTCATATCTTTCAGATATGTTATCTGAAGACAACCAGGCCTTCTTACAAAATCCAGGAATAGAAGATTTATTCCCCAAAATAATACTGGTAAGATATGGAAGATGTGGTTTTGATAATGTATAATTAATTAAAGCCTAAGTTTTTTTAAAAGATTGTGACAGGAAGAAAGGATATTATTGTGGACAGAAGTAACCTGGGATAATATTTCATAATAAAATCATTGTTCCCTGAAGAGGTCAAAGATATTACATGTCTTGGGAAAACTTCCACTTTAAGTCAGTTACATTTGTAAAACAATGTGTTTTTAAATGTAAAGAACAAAGCCAAATTTTTAATGTTATATATACTAGGGAAGCAAATGTGGAGTATCTGGAGACTCACCTAATCCATGGTGTGAATAATCATTTGAATTCTTTTAAATGTAGGATAGGATTAAAATTTTAGTCGTTTCTAAAAGTTAGAGATTTATAATGCACAGATTAAATTTAAATGTGATCAATTTGGCAATCCCTTCAATAGAATTTGTTATTCTATCACTGAAAATATTTATTTCCCCAATGTCTATGATTTTCGTAAACTTGGGAGTACATTTTTAGACAACCATCTTGGTTTAGTAGGTAATCCAGAATAGTATTTGGGAGTAAGTGTTCATGTATATTGAAATTATAGCTGTCACTAAAGGCCTTTCTATCTTCAACGATTACCAGGGTACATATAATGAAGACAGAAGTTATCAATTCAGTGAATATTGGAAAAACTTTAATAGAGAATCAAATGCTAATAATAAGAGAACTCAGCTTCCAGAAAACCATTATACATGTAGAAAAGCCTTTGACCAAATGTCAAGTCACAGTATAGATGAAGTAACTCATATTGTGGAGAAGACAAACAAACAAAGTAAATGTGACAAGTCTTTCAAGCAATCTTCACATCATACTGAACAAGAGAATATTCGTACTGGGAAGAGCACTTACAACAGTAATCCATGTGAGCTAATCTGTGATCAAATATTAAATCTAGATAAATATAAGAATACCCATACTGAAGAAAAACCTTACAAATGTCAAGAATGTGGCAAAGGCTTTAAATGGCATTCATGTTTTAATCTACACGAGAGAATGAATGCTGAGGAGCACCTTTACAGATGTACAGAATGTGGCAAAGTCTTTAAACATCCCTCAAAACTAACTCAGCATCAGAGAATTCATACTGGAGAGAAACCTTTTAAATGCAGAGAATGTGGTAAAGCCTTCAGCCAGGCCTCCACCCTTACTGACCATCAGAGAACTCACACGGGAGAAAAGCCTTACAAATGTGGACAGTGTGGCAAAGCCTTCATTCGTTTCTCAAAACTTAGTCGCCACCAGATCATTCACAGCACAGAGAAACCTTACAGATGTAAGGAGTGTGGAAAAACCTTTTCTTGGCATTCATACCTTACTAAACATCAAATAATACATTCTCGAGACAAGCCTTACAAATGTGCAGCATGTGGCAAAACTTTTCATTACCATTGGTGTCTTACACAACATGAGAGAAATCACAGTGGAGAAAAGCCTTATCAATGTAACATATGTGGCAAAACTTTTAAATGGCATTCATGTCTTATTGTACATGAGAGAAGAATTCATACTGGGGAGAAACCTTACAAATGCAGACAGTGTGGCAAAACCTTTTATCAGCACTCAAAACTTACTCAACATCACAGAATTCATACTGGGGAGAAGCCTTATGAATGTGGAAAATGTGACAAAGCCTTTAAACGCCATTCATATCTTACTATACATGAAAGAATTCATACTGGAGAGAGACCTTACAAATGCAGAGAATGTGGCAAAGCCTTTAACCAGTCCTCACACCTTACTCACCATCAGAGAACTCATACTGGAGAGAAGCCTTATAAATGCAGAGAATGTGGCAAAGCATTTAGGCGGTCCTCAACCCTTACTGACCATCAGAGAACTCATACTGGAGAAAAGCCTTTTGAGTGTGGAGAATGTGGCAAAGCCTTTAATCGTCTCTCAAAACTTACTCGCCATCAGATCATTCATACTGGAGAGAAACCTTACAGATGTAACGAGTGTGGTAAAGCCTTTGCTTGGCATTCATATCTTACTAAACATCAGATCATTCATTCTCAAGAGAAGCATTACAAATGTGGAGAATGTGGCAAAACCTTTAACTACCGCTGGTGTCTTACTCAACACGAGAGAACTCATACTGGAGAAAAGCCTTATAAATGTAGTGTGTGTGCCAAAGCCTTTAATCAGCGTTGGTCTCTCACCCAACACGAGAGAGTTCATACTGGAGAGAAAACCTTACACATGTAGAGAATGTGGCAAAACCTTTAGCCTATGTTCAAAACTTACTTACCATTGGAGAATTTGTGCTGAAGAGAAACAGTAGTAATGTAAAGAATTTTGCAAAACATTAACTGTTGTTCAAGCCTCATTTACCATCAGAGAATTAAGCTTTATGAATGTAAGGCATGTTCCAAAGACCTTATCTTCATTTGTATCATACTCAACATCTGATTATTCATACTGGAGAGAAACTTAGCAAATATAAAAAATGGGACATCTTTAACCAGTACACAAACCTTATTCAACATCAGCAGTCATACTGAAGAAAAGCTACAAATGTATAGAGTGAGAATAAGTCTTTACAGCATACTTGACATAAGAATTCATACTAGAGAAAAACTTTACATCTGAAGAGTGTATGAATTGTATAGTTGGACCTGCAGTGTCAATATCAGGGATTGCATAATGGGAAGGAATTGCATTAACAATAAAGGATGGAACTCTTTTTCCCAAAATATACACTTAAAGAATTTATCCCTTAGCCCTGGCCGGTTTGGCTCAGCGGTTAGAGCGTCAGCCTGCGGTCCAAAGAGACCGGGGTTCTGTTCCAGCTAAGGGCGCGTACTTCGGTTGCAGTTTGCCCCCGGCCCTGCTTGGGGTCATGAGGGTGGCGACCAGTCGATGTGTCCCTTTCATGTCGATGTTTCTCTCTCTCTTTCTTCCTCTCTCTCCCACCCACTCTATCTGAACAAAAATAAATGGAAGAATGTCCTTGGGTGAGGATAAAAAAAAAAGAATTTATCGGTTAAAGTGACTTTATAAAGATGTAAAAAATGTGCAAAAGTATGTAATCGAAAATGGATTTTAAAATGGAGAATTCACAGTAGAGGGTTTGTCAAAAATAGTTCTAAATCAGAATTCTTATTATGTAGAAAAATCCAAAGTTTAAAAACTGAAATAAGTACTTTTTAGTTTGCTTCAAAATATCAAAGGCATGGATGTTTTTCTATGTATAATTACTTACAATATATTTTATTTCATATTGATGGCATTTGAGATATTTTGAGAATGAAATATCATCAGTTAATGAAACATTAATTGATGCTACTATGTGTTTATTTCTAGTGTGTGTGTGAAATCATGAACTTGAATGTGGCTGCCTTAAAGATCTGTGAGCTCTTGTATATTAGGTCTGTTTTGCTCAGATCTACTCTTCTGTGGAAGACTGAGGACATTGTAATGCATAATGTATGAAGAAAATCTAAATGCTGATGTTGTTTGTGGTTGATTTAGAATGTTGTTGTATCTCACCATGAGACGCATCTTTTATTGCATTATTGTAAGATATAGGAACATTATGAATTTTAACTACTTTTCCCGATTACTCTTTAAGGAGAATATGGTGGCAGTTCATTAAAATCCTGATGTATTTGCCCTGGCCAGTCTTGCTTAGTTGTTAGAGCATCGGCCTACGGACTAGAATCCTAGGTTCGGTTCCCCCTGGGGGCATATGCCTCGGTTGCAGTTTGTCCCCGGCCTGTATGGGCGACAACTACTCGATGTGTCTGTCTCATATCGATGTTTCTCTCTCTCTCTTCCCCCCTCTCTCCCTCCCGCTCTATCTGAAGAAAAATGCAAAAATGTCCTCGGATGAGGATAAAAAAAAATCCTGATGTATCCTCATAGCAGTCATAGATAGAAATGATGAACACAGATGATGTGGTTGAAGTAAAAAAAGGACCTGAGATATCTGAGGAAGTATAGACAACTCACCCCTAAATGCATAAAATTATTGTACATTTATGTTTACTAAAAAATTAACCTCTATTCTGAAAATTGAAGAATGCACAGCTGTCATATTATATCAGAAGAACAGGAACACTTAAATGTCCATAATGTGTATTTAGACAAATGGTTACACAGTGGCTTTGTCATATTTATATCGACTGTGTGTGAATTGAATATTATTTTCATTAATAAAGCTGTGCTCATGTAGCCAACCTTATTTTACGTTGTATATAATAATATACTATTTGACGATGCAGTGCAATTATGTCATCTGCAATCCCTTTCTCCAGTGGCCTTAAACATTAAATAATGTGAAAAGATTTCTCTATTGATAATAGTTTTCTTTTCTTTTCTTTTTTTTTTTTTGGTACCTTCTGGGGCACTAGGAAAGTTACAATAAAGTTGACCTAAGGGTTTTTGAGCATTCAGTTAAACCACTTCAAGGTACTGTGGACTTCCATGGCATTTACTTCTGTAGTGAAGAGCCTTGAAATGACACTCCTCTCTCCCCAAATGGCAGGCACTAGACAATAACTCACAAAACCTCAAGTAAATGTAAGTTCCTGGCATCACTCCTGTAACCTCTGTGGGCTGCAGTTTCACTCCACTTCAGGGCATTCACCATGTGGCACTTACATAAGGTGTCTGCATAGGTATCCAAACCTCACTCTCTGGTTTATTTAGAACAATCTAAATTTAGCTCAAGAACACCAAAGGGCTCTGCAGCATGTGATGCCTAAGGAATGCAGGTGCCGGAGTCCTGCTGGCATCTTGCTGGCATCCTGCATTGTCCTCCACGTGTCGCCCTTTTAGGCATACTGTGTCCTTCCAGGGCCTGTGAGTTAAAACTTGTCTGTTTCAATTACTCAATTACTGGTCTTTTGTGTAACTTCTGCTCACGATCCAGTACCAGGTGCTCGTTTAACAAATTCTAATTTAACAAAGTTTAAATTAGTATAATTAGGAAGTTCTTTTAGCATGTTGAGCCTATATATTTTTCTGTACATGTCTTTTTGTACATGGATTGATACACAGAAATGAAATATGTACACATAGTAACCTAAAGATGTAAGAGTAAGAGGACTAAGGAAGAAAGAATTGGTGTGCATGTGTGCACACATATTTTCAGAAGCATAAGGAAATAATGAAACTGAATAGGTAATTTAAAAATATCTTAAAATTTAATAGCCAACTAGAAATCTCACAGATTTATAATATGTGAATGGTTTTTTTACATTGTATTTCTGTACATTTATTTTTTTCAAAACATGATTTTTGTATGAGAAACTCACATTGCAGTTGTTTACTTTCCTGCATTTCATATAAAACCTACCATAATTTTTCTTTGTTTCCTTATATAACCTGCTCAAGGATATTAAGAATGGTTTTCATAGAATTTAGTGGTATAGACAGATGACCTGGAAAGTAGATGTCATTTTACAGACAGCACATGAAGTTTCATTTTTAATATATTGTATTTCACTTTTCCTGTTATTAGAACATAACACTATAGTATCAGTGTTTTAAAATTATTTTCACTTTTAAGTAATGTCATAAGTTATTTCCTCTTCTCTGCTAATGCGTTCAGCTGAATACTTGGTGACATCACATGTCAATGTGTTGTTTTGCCATTTACATGAGTTTAATAAACACACAGGGCAGTCTCTAGATTCTACACGATTAAGAGGAATACTTCAATAGCAGTGATGTTGTGGTACCAGGTAGGAGGTGAATACTAACCAGGATGCAGAATTGGCATGAAGTCTGCACATGGAGAGAGAACATCTGTTCCCAGGCTGTACTTCTGGCTTAATTTAGGAGACTCATCTACTTGTTTTTTCTTGTTTCCTGTACCTCTCTGTTTCTTCATTTTTATTCTCAGCTGCAGAGACATCACAGCCACTCTCCTTTAATGTGCTATGGGCACAGCACTGCGGTCCCCTACCACCTCAGCATGAAAGCCCTTGTAGGTTATGATCAGTAATCTGGAGTTTTTCTAATGCAATGGCATACATCAGAATTCGGTACATATTGTGCATATTTTTCACCAAGTAAGTAGCCCACAAACCATGTTTTTATGCAAAGCCCTCTACTTTTGAATGAATATTGATTTTTGGAATGTAATAGAATGGCATTTGTTTGAAAACTGGAATGATCTTCCTGGTCCCAGTGTTTACTATAATCCTGACAAATTTCTCAGTGTTATGTCATCATCTTTACTGAAGTGGAAGCAGGACAAGTTTAACAGGTTTTCTTCTTGATCATGAATACAGCCAACTCTTGGAAATTTTCTTTTCCAAAGAGAAATATCAAAGACCATGTTGAAACATTTTTTTTATTTTGGATGCAAGCTTACTTTCTATGTTCACATGGCCAGAGGCAAGTGCATTCACACCACCTGTACCTCGAATGTGTTTTAAGCCATCACACTCTAGATGGGAAGAGTTTAAAAATCAAGCCCCAAAGTTCATTTGCTTTTTAAGTGTCCTGTCCTGGATCTGTAGAAGCTGCTAAATGTTAGTTCCTATGAGTGTACCCTCCCAAAATATCAACACAACCGTTATAGAAACCAGATATTGGACACTGCTCTCCTGATCTTCTTGATATTAGCTATAGACACTATATGCAGTATTCCTATTTGTATGTGTCTGTCCATGGGTGGTGTCTAAGACTCATCACATGAAACAGTGGCTTTATGGTTTTTGTTCATTACCAAAGTACAGGGCCCAGAATATTCATAGGAATAAAATCTCAGCTAGATGGGCATGTTCCATTTCCAGGTACTCTAGTAAGGAATATTGAGAAGATGTATTGATGCAAATTATACAAACATTGATTTTTTTTTCCTTTTATGTGGAAAAACAAAGCAGATATTGTCTCTGTTTTTTAAAGGACATCTGTCTTCATTTTTTCCAGAATGTATGTTCTGCTTTGGGGTGAAATACTCTCAAATCAACTCCATCGTGTCTCGTGTCATTTTAGACTACTGTTTCCTTGATTATCTGTAATACCTATCCATTGATGTCAATGAGAAGTTAAAGTCCCCTACTGTAACTGTATTAATGAATTTTCAAATGGCAATAACTATATACCTACTAATAATCACTTAAAATGTGTATGCATTAAACGCTTCAATAAAAAAGCAGGGTAGCTGATTGGATAGGAGATCAAGAACCACACATGGGTTCTCTACCAGAGACCCACTCACATCAAAAGATACAGCGAAAGGAAAGGGTTGAAAGGAGTTACTTCACCTCTACCTCTGGGCACCAAAAAACCTACTCTGCAGAGAATTATGCTCTAGTTAACGATGTAATCATAGACTGTATACATATAAGTATGACAATTACTCTGCTTACTTAGCTGACCCATGTGGTATAGGTGACTAAATTGAGTCAACATGTAAAGTTTTTAGATACTCCCAGAAACTTTTGGCAGGTGCTTGGGCAGGTCAGAACAGTTCTGATGCCGAACTCAGGTAAAGATGTCTTTCTTTAATGTGAACCTCTTAACTGATGATTGCTTTACTTTCTCTTTTTAAACTTTGGAAATTTCATAAAGGAAAGGACTGTGCCCTTGGGAAAAAAAGTTATTTTATGCAAATGGAAATTTTAAATTGCTGAGGCACCAATGCTTATGTCAGACAAAAAGTAGACTTTAAATCATAGGCTCTAAGAATAGAGGGATATTTCATAATCATAAACCAATTTAACAAGAAGATATAACCCTTGTAAACATTTATGCACTCAATATAAATACATAAAGCAAGTGTTGCCCTGGCCGGTTTGGCTCATCGGTTAGGGCATCGGCCTGCGGTCCAG